TGGCTCCTTGTCCTTCTCCTCGTCCTCTTCCTCCTCCTCCTTCTCCTCCTCCTCCTCCTCCTCCTCCTCCTCCTCCCCGCCCTTCTCTCTTCTCTCCTCCTCCGCCGCCTTCTTCTCCCTGCTCCTCCATCCCCTCCTCCTCGTCTTCCTTCTCACTTTCCACTCCCCCTCGCCCTCCTCATTCTCCTCCCCTTCCTCCCCCCCTCATCGTACCATGCGCGTCATATCCTCCCGCTCGAGGTTCCTCCTCGCCATAGCCGACGGCGCCAACGTGGAGGGTCGCCTGGGGGATGGGGGAGGGACGGAGGGAGGGGTCTTTGGGTGAGGCAGGTTGGGCAGAGGGGGGCGGGGAGGGGCTGAGGGGGGAGGGTCCGTAGAGCGCCCCGCCAGGACCTTTGTTCCCGGAAAGGGCTCGGGCCCGGGGCTTCTTTGAATTGTGTTCTTCCTGTCCCCCTGTGCCAAGTTCGAGGAGGGCTGGTAGATTTTTCCGCTCGATAGAAACCAGGTGAAGTACAATTTTATTTGTCACTGCGTTTCGCGCGTGCCCGCTCGAGGGAAGTGCGCCCCCAATCTCAGATCCTGGATAAACGACGAGGTCCGCCGACCCCCGCTCTTTGTTGTTCTTTCGTTTTTTTGTTTTTGTAAGAACAGGTGCGACGGGTTTTACGCAGAATGCAGGATCGATAGCGAAACCGGGATACCTATGTTATAACTCAACAGGAAATGAACAATTGCTGTCCTGTTGCCAACCCCTCGAGGATGGCGCGTCCTGCGCGACGAAGGTTCGAGGATGCCTCGAGCGACACGCTCGGTCTGCAAAACCTCGAGGGGCTTCGGCGCCCCAGGCTGCCCGGGGTGGCTTTCCGAGAGCGCGGACGCGCGGGAAACAAAAAACACTCTCGGGTTCCGATTGCCACAGAGCGGGACAAGCGTGAGAACATATGGTCGGAAACTGGAGCATATATGGTCGGGGCGTGCCTTACGGAACGTGCCCACGAGGCTTCAGACCCTGGAGGGTTCCTTGTCTGATGAGATCGGTGGTGATATCCATGTCCATGGCCAATCCACAATTGGCTTTCCACTGGCTTCCAGACCCTGGATTCCTTGTCGAAGGTTTCTTCATCCAATGCCATCACCGTACATTAACTGTGGCGGGCGGTTTTTCAGTCCCAGGACTTTTTTTGAGGGTCGGGATGGTGCGGTGTATATTTGTTCCCCGCTTTCCTGGGGAGCACAACGAAGAATTCATACACCGGGATCCCGTATACACCAGGATCCGCTTTCCTGTCCGAGATTCAGTGTGAGGCCAGACAAAGGCGTCGGTGTATAGAGTTCGGCTCCTTACATAGTTCCTAGCGGCTCAGGGCGGGACAAGCGTGACAACACGTGGGTTCCTATCGCCCAGAGAGGGGCAACCGTAAAGACGCATGGGTCACTAACGCTTCAGAGCGGGACAGCCGTGAAACCACATGGTTCGTGACGCCCCAGGTCGGAGCACGCCTGAAGCAGAGTTGATTATTGATTATTGGCGGCCCAGAGCGGGACACCTGCGACATTGAATTGTTTCCTAACGCTTCATGGAGTGCCCCTCTTGGGTGGCCCGGGCACGTGAGAGCACGTGGGTCCCTAACGTCCCAGGGCGGGGCAAACATGAACACACATTGGTTCTTACCGCCCCAGAGAGGGACACGCGTGACAACAAATGGGTTCCTAACGCCCCAGGGCGGGACAAGCGTGACATGGGGTCCTGCCGCTCCAGGAGTGGGGCACGCGTGAAAACACGTTGGGCCCTGACGCTCCAGGGCGGGACACACGCGAAAACGCATGAGTTCCTAACGCCCCAGGGCGGGACAAGCGTGGCGACACATACGTTCCTAATGCCCCAGAGCGGGGCAAACGTGATAGAAACGTCGGTTCCTAAAACCCCAGCGCGGGCCGCGTGTGAAAACGCATGCAATCCTAATGCCCCAGCGCGGGACAAGCGTGAACACACGTGGGCTCCTGACGCCCCAGAGCGGGACAAGCGTGAAACCACATAGTTCCTAACGCTCCAGAACGGGTCAAGCGTGAAAGCATGTGGGTGCCCAACGCCCCAGAAGCTTTGCAACACCTGGGTGTCTAACGCTCCAGGGCGAGACAAGCGTGAAAACGCGTGGGCTCCTAGCGCCCCAGAGCGGTACACTCGTGCACACGCATGGGTTCCTAACGCCCCAGAGCGGGACAACCGTGAAAACACATGGGTTCCGAACGCCCCAGAGCGGGGCAAAGCGTGACAACGCGGGGGCTCCTAACGCCTCCGAGCGGGACAATCGCGAAAGCACATGGCTCCTCACGCCTAAAATCGGGGCAAGCGCGGCACCACATGGGTTCCGAACGCCCCAGAGCGGGGCAAGCGGGACAACACTTAGGTTCCGAACGCTCTGTGAGCGGGACAAAGCGAGAAACCACGTGGGCTCCTAACGCCTAAGATAGGGGCAAGCGTGACAGCACATGGGTTCCCAACGCCCCAGAGCGGGGCAAGCGGGACAACACTTAGGTTCCGAACGCCCTATGAGCGGGACAAAGCGAGAAACCACGTGGGCTCCTAACGCTTAAGATCGGGGCAAGCGTGACACCACATGGGTTCCCAACGCCCCGCTCTGGGGCAAGCGTGACAACACTTAGGTTCCGAACGCTCTATGAGCGGGACATAGCGAGATGCCACGTGGGCTCCTAACGCCTGAGCGGGACAAAGCGAGAAATCACGTGGGCTCCTAACGCCTAAGATCGGGGCAAGCGTGACACCACATGGGTTCCGAACGCCCCAGAGCGGGGCAAGCGTGACAACACTTAGGTTCCGAACGCTCCATGAGCGGGACAAAGCGAAAAAACACGTGGGCTCCTAACGCCTAAGATCGGGGCAAGCGTGACACCACGTGGGTTCCCAACGCCCCAGAGCGGGGCAAGCGTGGCAACACTTAGGTTCCGAACGCTATGAGCGGGACAAAGCGAAAAACCACGTGGGCTCCTAACGCCTAAGAGCGGGGCAATCGTGACAGCACATGGGTTCCCAACGCCCCAGAGCGGGGCAAGCGTGACAACACTTAGGTTCCGAACGCTCTAGGAGCGGGACAAAGCGAGAAACCACGTGGGCTCCCAACGCCCCAGAGTGGGACAAGCGTGAAAACACGCTGGTTCCTGACGCCCCAGAGCGGGACAAGCGGGACAACACGCGGGTTCCCAACGCCCCAGAGCGGGACAACGCGTGAAAACGCATGGGCTCCCAACGCAGGAGGCCTGGACAAGTTTTCTACCACAAGGGTTCCTGGCGCCCCAGAGCGGGACGTCGCATGCCCCTTCCCCCGTCGGCGCGTCCCCTGGCTCGTCCTCTGTCTCGCTCCCCGGCTTGTCCCTCGGCGCTTCCCTTGCCCGTTCCGCGGCGTGTCCCTTTGCCGCGTCCCTTGACACGTCCACTGGCGCTTCCCCCAGTCAGTATCGTTTATCCGACCCTCATCCCCATCCCCATCCCCTTCGAGACCCCCACCAAATTACCCCCCCAGGTGGGGTTACACCCCTCGAAGCCCGAAGGGAACGACCTATATCCTCATATAGGGGGGTACATCGGCCAGTGGGGTCCAGGCCACGCCGCCGGAGATGGGGATCGGTTAAGCGATACTCACCTCGTGCGGCCCTGATACATTCCGTGGCGCGTCCCTGCGCCCTGCTCCTCGTGCCGTCTCGTCCCGCTTCGGAGCTGAGTCGGATCCTGAGCTCGAGCTGATTGGGCGTCCCACAGGTTTCGACTGCAACCAGCTCAGGGCCAGCCATGCGTTGAGGCAGCTCGAGCTTACGATCCAGATCAGTTCGGTCAGGATTCGGATGCTGAGGGCGATTTGAACCACAATGATCTAGAGCACAACGCAATTCATGGCGGCATGACACATCTAATTTCAGCACGGCACATCACAGCACAATCCTTGGCACGGTGCATCGCGATCGATACTTTCAGCATTGCCATTGTCTGTCGCCCAATCAGTTGTCTTGAAAACGTAGCCATACCTCGTGTCTCTAAATTCCCTTTTAGTTTCGTGGATCGATCACTTGTTAGGGGTCTTGAAGCAGACATGGACGTGAGCAACAATTTTTGCATGTTGAGCTCGATTAATCGGGGGGCTTCCTTCTCGGGTGGCAAGACGCGAAACCAATGAGCAAGTGCAGTGGGCATGGCGCGCCAACCGCTGCATAGCGCGTTGGTGTACCCTTTATACCTCCTCTCCTCCCTCTTCCTTCGCTGACCTGGCTCTTTTCTTCCGTATTCAGCGGCAGGGGGATTCGATTCACAATATTGGTTGATGCGTGAGAGGAATATCAGTAATCAGGGCGTTGCGATTCGTTGGACAAGAATTGTTGGTCCATTCCTTTTGGGCTGCACTCTGACGCATGGCACCGGGACTGGACATCTGGCTTCGATTCCACGCAGGCGTCATGGGGAGGCGCTTATGCAAACCCGTGTGGGAGCCCCATGCCAGAACTCGGTGCCACTCCGAGGTGTCAGCATCTTCTCCGTCCTGGTCGTCTCGAACTTTGTCTCCTTCTGCATATCTCTCAGCTTGTCTGTCATCCTCGAAGGGGGAAACGTCATTAGCCACATCATGGTGTGCGGCGCCCACTGGAGGTTCATGGGCGTGTCGATTTTGTTCACCTTTGCGAGCGCGCTCCTGATCCTCGCTTACCGCATCGGCACTCCCGCTGCGGAGGTGGTGACATTTGGGTATCCAGGTGCCCGCGGCGAACTCCGCCCCCCTTGCCACGGTGCTGGAGGCCTCGAGACGGGCAGGGGCGCATGCACCCAGCTGCTATCAAAGGGCGGGGGCGCATTAGGAGACCAACAGAGATCCTACCAGGCAGCACTTGCCACTCCATTGCGCCCACATCGTGCACGCACGATGGCGGATCTCTACTTGCCCGTATCGGTGGTCCTCAGCTGTTATGTTTTCCGGAGGAGATACGGTCGGCTCGAGTGGCTATCGGTGGGGATGATGACGTTGGCCATCCTCACTTTCGTCCTGCTGCGGGAGGAGTCTAAGCACCACGTGGGGGGCCGTTTCGGCCGCAGAGGTTTCTGCCTTGTGGTGGGTGCTACGTGCATCAGCGTACTGGCTTCGGTCTGGGCAGAGCGCATCTTCAAGGAGAGGACCGTCCTGCGCAGCAGCGCTCATGGGCCCCAGCCAAGCAGGTCCTGGGTTGTGATAATTGAGAGGAAGAGTAAGAGTAGGTGGGAGAAGACGTGTAATACATTATTTACGTAGTTCCTCAGGGGTCCTATCCAGATAAGAAATTGGTAACAATGATGACGATGCTGATGATACTGCTACTGATGATGATGGTGATGGTGATGACGCCGATGATAAGGATGATGTCTTTGATGATGACGCATGATGATATTGATGATGCGGCTGCTGCTGCTGCTGCTGATTACTGTCTTGCGCAGTAGTGCTCATGAGATCCAGCCCATCAGGTTCTACGTGATGAAGTTTTACCTGGACCTTTCGTCGCTGGTGGTCTCGTGTGCCCTGTGGTGCATGCCTGGCACTGTTGCGAGCCTGTTCGGAGACTTCTTCGAGCAGTGGTCCCAGTCTTCAGAGTGGTTCGGCTCTTGGGGCTACTTCCAGGTGGTCATGGTTTTCGTGTCAGTCGGTCAGGGCTGGGCCACCGCCTTGGTCACCAAGGAGTTTTCCACCGTCATCAAGGCCATCGTGCAGACCTCGAGCGTTATTTTCGTGATGCTGCTGAGCGATCCTCTCATGGGGAATCGCTTCCACTTTATCCGAAGAGAGTTTCCTTCGATCATGCTGTTTGCGATTATCTTAATGTCTGCCGTTATATTTCAAACCGGCAGGATCAATCTCTGGGTCATCCGGAAGGCGATGAACCTCGACGTGGGCCGGTTGGCGGCACCAGAGAATGGCAGGGAACCCTCGCGCGGGGAAGGGTGGGCAAGCTCGGAGGCACCTGAGTGTGCCGTCGCGACCGACGCGGTCCCAAGCATCAAAGAGAGCCCACTGCCGTCCCCGCTGTCGCCAGAACCTGGTCCGCATGGCTCCGAGACGGGGACAAGCTGGACCAGCTTGTTGGCGACCTATGCGCTCGTCGTTTTCTACGTCATCTCCGACGCGGGTCGCACACTCGTGATTCAGAGGTCTTTGAGTACTGCGGTGATCAACTCCACGTCCATGACCCTCGCCATCTGCGTGTGTGGCCTCCTGGTGGCGAGCTGCATGACGCTGGCGAACGACGGCTGCAGCGGCCTAATGCGGGCCTGGGACCCGAGGGGGATCTGGCACTGCCTGCCGGCCGCGTTTCTTTTCGCGCTCTCGACGACGTTTGGAAACATGGCGTTCGCCTTCGGGGTCTCTCCCTCCCTTTACGTTGTCCTGGGCAAGTTCTACACGCCGGTGGCGGCCTTGGGCGCGCGCTGGGTCATGCGCAAATTCTACATGTGGCTCGAGTGGTTCGCCCTGCTCATCCTCACTCTGGCGTCGTGCTGCTTCGGGTACCTCAAGGAGTTCGACGTCGCCTCGGGGGACCCGAACCCTGGCTCGCTGGCGGGCATGGCCTTGGTCCTGTGCTCCGCGGGCACTTCCGCCCTGGCGTCTCTGGTGACGGAGAAGATCCTCAAGGGGGACAGTGCCCCCTTCCACCTCAAGAAGGTTCGGACGCTTAGATGCCCCGATACGCCCGTTTTGACACGCAACACGTGTCGTGCTCAAAGCGTCCGTGTCAATACGTTGCGTGTTGGCTCAACGTATTGGCCCAGGTTTTGGCGAACGTACTGCGTCAGACTTACGTTTTCAGTTTACGTGCGGAGCTCCGTATCAATACGCTACGTGTTGCGTATGGCGTGTGTTGCAGCTAAATTCGGACGCTGATAGGCTCCGGCCCTGCCAAGCCGAGTAGCCAGTTGCCCTTGTTCGGCTCTCGCGGGGGCGCTGCGGCCGCAAGCTTTTGCGGGCCCACGCGATGGCCAGGCCTGCTCTCGTGTCGCTCTCGCCAGGAGGGCGTTTTTTTGCCAAAGGGGGGGTTTGGAGGGGCCTATGAACAAAAGTAAATACACACAAATCCCAGAATCCTCCATATTTTCATATCGGAGGTTGGGGGTGAGTCCGACGTGAAACGGAGACCCCCCCTACCAGGAAATCGATTTCGGTTTCGGGTTCGTGTCGTGCGTGCCGTGCGTGCGTGCGGGCGAGGCGAAGCTGCGTGGGCGGGCGAGAGGAAATCCTCCTGTGGCTGGGCCGCGGCTGGACCAAATCATTCTCCTCCGGCGGCCGGTGGCCCGCGGTGTCCCGCCGGTGTCCCGCTGGTGTCCCGAAATCCTCCTGTGGCTGGGCCGCGGCCGGACCAAATGTTTCTCTTCTGGCGGCCGGTGGCCCGCGGTGTCCCGCTGGTGTCCCGTGGTGTCCGCCGCTGCTAGCGAGAAGTCAAGACAAATGATTTTTCCCCCTCCCGCCCGTCCAGCGGTGGCTCGCGGTGTCCCGCGGTGTCCTGTGGTGTCCCGTGGTGTCCCGTTGAATGAGATCGATAGTGAGATCGATAGTGAGATCGATAGTGAGATCGATGTGGTGTCCTGAGGTGTCCCGTGGTGTCCTATGGTGTCCCGCTGAGTGAGATCGATAGTGAGATGGATAGTGAGACCGTTCGTGAGATCGAGCGGTGTCCCGCGGTCTCCCGTGCTGTCCCGTGGTGTCCCGTGGTGTCCCGTGGAGTGAGATCGATAGTGAGATCGATAGTGAGATCGATAATGAGATCGATGTGGTGTCCCGAGGTGTCCTGTGGTGTCCTATGGTGTCCCGTTGAGTGAGATCGATGGTGAGATCGATAGTGAGAACGATAGTGAGATCGAGAGGTGTCCCGCGGTGTCCCGTGGTGTCCCGTGGTGTCCCGTTGAGTGAGATCGATCGTGAGATCGATAGTGAGATCGACAAGTGTCCCGTGGTGTCCCGTGATGTCCCGTGGTGTCCCGTTGAGTGAGATCGATAGTGATATTGATTGAATCAGATGTTGGTTCCCCCCCCTCTCCGCCCCCACAACCTCCTTATCACCCGAAGGGTGGTCGTTTAGGTATTTTCTGGGTTTTCGTCTTCCCCCCTCTTCCCATGCTTTCCCATATTTCCCTGGGAATCCAAGATTCATTGTGTCTGTGTGTTTCTTCTCTCGAGGGTCTGTCCACCTCTGGAATCAGAGGAGGCAAAGCTACCCACTCCTCTACCCCTCCCTCCGTTTTCCTCTTTTGGGCCTCCTGGGAGGTCCTCGTCGCCACCGCTGGATTCGCTGCGAAATCCTGGTCAGAGCGCACCCCGGGAGAGGCCCGGGGAGGAGCGGTATCGGTGCCTTGTGGTTTTCCCATGGAAGGTGCGATTGGATGCTGGCAGCGCTCTCTCCTGCATGGCCCTCGTACCCATCATCGGGATGATGGCCACCCGGCCGCAGGACATTCCCTGGGTCCAGCGGCCCGCGGGCTACCAGGAGTGCCCCGCGAGCTCTCCTTGCTGGCAGCTGCACGGCGAGGGCGGCTTCGAGACGTGCGCGAGCCCGGCGTGCCGGTGCGACTGTTCGGCGGGCGTGTTCGTCGGCTGGAACCAGTGGCTGCTCGCGCTCGCGCTCGTGGTCAACACTGCCCAGGGCTGGCTTGTCGGCCGAGTGACGCAGCGCTTTTCCACGGTGCACCGTGCCATCGCCGACTCCTTCAGCCTGTTGGCCATCTACTTCGTGGGCGATCCGCTGTTCAACGGCGCCAGCCTGGACAGCGTGAGCCTGAACCTGGTGGCGTTCATTGTGCCCCTCAGCACGGCCACATTTGCGGTCGCCACGAGCGAGATGCAGAAGGTGATGGGCGCGAAGTCAAAGCTCGAGGACGGAGTGGGAACGGCAGGCATCTTTGCAGGGCTGGCATGCCGACGGCGTCCCCTCAACCCCCTTCCTCCGCGCTCGGAGCCCCTCAACTCACCTCGCCCGCACTTCTCCTCGTCCCTGTTCCTCGTCCCTCGTTCTCCCCTCCGTCCTCCTCCTCCTCCTCCTCCTCAATTCCTCTTCCTCCTCCTACTCCTCCTTTCATCCCTCTCACTTGTGGATACCCCCCTTTCGCACCACCAGCCTCGGAACCTCCTCAACTCACCTCGCCCGCCTCTCTCCTCGTCCCCTGTTCCTCGTCCCTCGTTCTCCCCCCGTCCTCCTCCTCCCTCTCTGCCTCCTCAATCCCTCTTCCTCCTCCTCCTCGCTCCTCCTCCTCCTCCTCCTCCTCCCTTCCTCCTCCCTTTCCTCCTCCTCCTCCTCGCTCCTCCTCCTCCTCGCTCCTCCTCCTCCTCGCTCCTCCTCCTCCTCGCTCCTCCTCCTCCTCCTCCTTCATCCCTCTTCCTCGTGGATGCCCTCTCCTTTTCGCACCACCGGGCGTGTTCGTAGAGGCCAGGCGGGGCACTTCGCTTGAGAGCTCTTTGACTATGCAGTCCACCATGCTGAAGCCGAGCACGCTCCAGCAGTTACACGCATGGTGGGCCGTTGTTGTTGTTTTTTGCCGCTTCAGCGCCATTCGTTTTCGAGGTTCGAGCAGTTTCAGGGATGGATGGCGAGTGGTGGCTTTCAGCATGGGGCTCTCGCTCAGCGCCGCCCACATCTGCCGTGCCCCAGATCCGACAGTTACAGACATTGAGGGCGAAGGGCCGGCAATGTTCAACATGTGGCTCCTGCCTCAGCGTCGCACATCCGTTCTGGACGCTTCTTCCCACCTTCCAGGAGTGGAATCCGGCCTGTTTTCAACATGCGGCTCTCGCCCAAAAAGTATCAGGAGGGAAAGAAACACACAGACACAATCAACCGTCGACTCCCAGGAAAACATGCAAACATATGGGAAGTGGGGGGGGGGAAGACAGACACCCCGAAAACGTGGGAAGATATGGGGAACATTTTTATCTGTGTGTATTTCTTTGTGTGTCCTGGGGCCCCTTCAGAGCACTCCGCAGCGTGCACGCCCAGATGTTTTTTTTGGTGCGCTGCCCACGCTGGCGTGGCAGATCCTCTTCAGGACGGGGCCGTCGCTGGACACCTCTCTTGCAGCCCTTGCTGTACACCTTAGGCGATGCTTAAGAAAACCCAAGTTTTCGGCCAGAGTCTCGATTATTCTTAACCTTTGTATGTAAATCCTAATATTTGAATAGAAATGTTGGGTTTTAATTGAATTTCTGAGACTATGAATTTCTTAACCCATGATTTCTTAAGCATTTCGCAGGGTGTATCGTCCTGCCCTCGGTGGGCCCTGGAAACGACAGGGACGGTTTTTACCCGTTCCGTTTTTTACCAGCCTCGACAGTATCCCTATCCCTAAGACTGGCACGCCAAGAGGCGATGACAATCCTAGGGATCCGCCTTCAAAAAACAAGGGAGTCCCTAAGATTGGCATCGTGATGAGGAGGTGCCCAGCACAGGGATAGGGATATGTTTCAGGCTGGTAAGTTTTGCCGTTTTTGATGCCGGTTCCGACGCCGTTTTTTTACCGGTTCCGTCGCCGTTTTTTGACCGGTTCCGGCTCCAGGTCCAATCCTGGAGCCGTTTCTTGCCGTTTCCGGTCGCCGTTTTTTTGCCGTTTCCGTTTTCAAGGAGCCTTTTTTCGGAAACGACGAAAACACGGCCCTGCCGTTTCCGGGGCCCACAAAGGTCCTGCCTCTTTATACAGTGGGGGCCCATGCTAAGAAACACCCTGCTTGCCTCAAGGCGGGCCTGTCCCTCTACAGGGGGGAATATTCAGAAGCAGTCAAAAAGTAGTCTGGGGACGATTCTTGTATTATTTGTGATTTTCAGGGGGATGTTTGTGACTAATTTCAATTTGTTGTCCAAGATCCGCCTGTAGGGGGACACGCCCGACCTAAGGCTTGCCTCCAGGGTGCCCTGGGGTCTTTGAACGTCCTGCCTCGCACACCAAGAATCAATGGGCGTCCTGGGGTCTCAGGGCCGGGTTTCTTGTGGAAGGTTTCTCGTGGTCGGGCCCCTGCTGTATGTTTCTTTGCCCTGAGGGATGGGTGGTGGCTCCTTTGCCAGACTTGGTGGCGAGCGAGGGGGAAGCGAGAAGGGGCAGGCCCTCTGAGAAGGCCCGGAAGCCCACCGGGCCTTCCGAGAAGTTTTTTCTGAAGCCTTCCCGACGACGCGGGAAGCCTCTCGGAAGGCGCGAGGCCTTCCGAGCGAGCAGTCCCGCCGCCTTCAGAGGAGGCCTTCGCCTCCTCACTCCCCTTACGTCGGGCCTGTCCCTCGGCAGGGGGAATATGCAAGCACAGTCGATGTGTTGTCTGTGTCTGACGGTGTGTTGACTGTTCTTGAGCATTGCCCGACTGTTTTTGAGCACTGCCTGTTCTGTCTTCTCCACTCGTCGTCCAAAATCCGCCTGCAGGGGGACAGCGCCCGACCTGCCGCTTCCCCCCCTCCTGGCCCGCCGCCGGCCGGCGGGGTCCCGCCCGAGCGGCAGGCCCGCTGGGCGCTCGTCGCTTGCGGGCGGTGCCTCCCGCGCGGGGCGGGCGGGCGTGTGGCAGCATCGTCGGCGCCTCCTCGGTGCACTGTGGTCCTCCCTCGCTCCTCCTCCTCCTCCTCTTCCTCCTCCCACCTCCTCCTCCCTCCTCCTCCTCCTCCCTCCTCTCCTCCTCCTCCTCCTCCTTCCTCCTCCTCCTCCTCCTCCTCCTCCTCCCTCCTCCTCTGTCCTCCTCCCTCTCTCTCTCCTCCTCCTCCTCCTCCTCCTCCTCCTCCTCCTCCTCCTCCTCCTCCTCCTCCTCCTCCTCCTCCTCCTCCTCCTCCTCCTCCTCCTCCTCCTCCTCCTCCTCGCTCCTCCTCCTCCTCCTCCTCCTCCTCCTCCGCCTCCTCCTCCTCATCATCATCATCATCCCTCATCTCTTCTCTGCTCGCTCCTCTTGGCTCTCTGCTGCCTCCTCTCTGCTCCCACCTCCTGCTTCCCCCCCGCGCCTCTCTCCTCTCTGCAGTCTGCTCCCTCCTCCCTTCTCCTTCCTCTCTGTTACCTCCTCCTCCTCCTCCTCCTCCTCCTCCTCCTCCTCCCTCTCCTTCTCCCTTTCGTCTCCGTTGCCTCGCGAGGAAGCGGGGCCCGCGCCCAGCACCGGTGTCAGTGACAGCGAGTCGGAGGAGGACTTCAGCTAGCGCAGCACCCCCACGGCGTGGTACCTCGCCGGGTGACGACGCGCCTGGCCGGGGACGCCCGCTGCAGTCGGCGAGGGGCGTGCGAGTGCCTCGAGCCCGACAGCAGCGTGAGCATGGGCCTTCAGAGTTCCGCGAGGGTTTTCTTGGGTCGGCGCTGGTCCCTCCTCCTCCTCCTCCTCCTCCTCCTCCTCCTCCTCCTCCTCCTCCTCCTCCTCCTTTCCCCGCCCCACACCCCTGGCGGCCGCTCCCCCCCCTGCGCGCCGCCACGCGCGCAGAGGACAGCGGTGTGGGCAGGGGGTCCAGCGCCGACCAAGGAAAGCCCGCGCGGACCAGCGGACGTTGCGCCGTACGCACCTGAGCTTCTCTTGGTTTCGGGAGCGCCCTCCTAAGGGACAAGGGCATGTGCCCTCGCTCCCATCCCAGCCCTCGCTCCCGACCCCGCCCAGCAGAAGGGTGTTTCGAGACACGCCGCACGTTCCGGCAAGTTGCTGCGGGGTTTCTCGACCCATGCTGGGCGAGTTTGCGGGCGCACCTCCACCGGCCAGCCTCTGTCCTTGAAGTCCCGTCTGCTGGCAAGGATTGCCCTTCCGGTCTCCCCATGCCTTGTTCTCGGCACGCACCCTCGGCCTCCGCGCCTTGCTGCCCCCGCCTCCTCGGATGAGCCTGGCGCCCAGGTCCCCAGGATGTCCCCTCCTGTTCGCTCCGACAGTGGCTCTGGTGTCCTCGTCCTCCCTACCCCCTCCGCGTCATTAAACTTACGTCGGGCCTGTCCCTCTACAGGAGGAAAGTTCAAACATATAGTCTGGGAACGTTTTTTTTGGTTATTATTATTATTCAGATTTCCCACGTATATATAAATATAGATCCATGTATATGTAAATGTAAATATGTAGATGTATATATATATATATGTATATATACGTATGTCTATACGTATTTCGTATTCGTGGTCCTTTTTCGAACCATATTGACTATTTTTAAGTGTTCCTCCAAAATTGCCCTGTAGGAGGACGCGCCCGACTCAGCATAAAAACTCTCCCCATTCCCATCGGGCCATGGCATCTCAGTCCCACCATCACACCGCCCCAGTTGGGACATCCACCTCGACACCCGAAGCGAACAGTCGATATCCCTCACCCAGGGGGGTACATTTGCCAGTGGGGCCCAGGCCACGCCAGCGGGGATAGGGGTCGGTTAGACGATGCCCTCCTCCTCCTCCTCCTCCTTCTCCTCCTCCCCCTCCTCCGCGACCATCTTTTCGCAGGGCGTCAGCTGGACCATCCATGGATCCTGGACGGGCCGATGTTCTGGGCCGGGGTCGGTGCGCACGCCTCCCTGGTTCAGCCAGGAATGCGTGTACTCGAGCAGTGGTGAGGCGTCCTGGCTTGCCTGTAGGCCCACCAAAGAATGTTCTAAGAACCTTGTGTTTAGTCGGGCTTGTCCCTCTACAGAAGGAATGTTCAACAATAGTCAAACAATAGTCTGGGGACGTTTTTTGTTCGAATCAGTTTGACCATTAGTTTTCGTCCAACATCTGCTTGTAGGGGGGACATGCCCGACCTAAGCCCTGCGTCGTCGGCACGAGATGTTCTTAGAACATTTCTGGCCGATATTGTCTGGTTTTAACACTTCGGCTTTATGCTATGAGAACATTGTTTTTGTTATTAGAACACGTTTGGGCTTTAGAGCATGTCGTGGTAGGCCTATAGGAGTCAAGGACGGTCGGTACCTGCTCATATACAGCAATCTTGGGCTCAGGATCAGCCTGGCCAGGATCGGTGAGGTGGTCGGCTGATGTCGCCCGCTATTTGCAGTCGTGGCCGCTCGGAGAGGGGGGCAAGCAGCAGCTGCAATAGCCCGTGCGAGCTGCAGGCGTGCACATCACTTGCCACCTGCAGGGGACGATGGCGGGTAGCGATGACGATGTGCTCCTTAGCCCGGCAGCGGGCATTTTAAGGAAGGCGTGCCTCTACCGTTAGTCTGCCGGTCGCTCTGGCCATGGCTGCACGCCTGCCCTTGTCAGCATTGCCTCGACACGGCCGGCGGGGATCCGCCAGCCAGCGCTGCTTCCCCCAGCTATTCGCAAGAGTGGCCCTTCGCCAGAGTGGCCTCTGGTGCGTGGCCCTCTGGGGGGCGCTGGGAGGCCAACTGGGGAGGGCCTGCTCCAGGGGGCAGCATCGACCTCCGATCGCCCACTCCTCGCCTATCCAGGCCTCGGTGCCCCAGCCTGCCCAGACCCGCCGGGCTTCCCAGCCGGGGGCCTCTCGCCTCGGCGACGTGCTTGCCGTCGATTCTGGGCCACTGCCCCCCCCCTTTATCAGCCAGCGCCCAGACATGTGCTTGACGGTGCTCTGCCCAGACACGCCGGGATTCCCCAGTCGGGGGCCTATCGCCTCGGCGACGTGCCTGCCGTCGATCCCGGGCCACCGTCCCCCCCTTTGTTGGCCAGCGCCCAGACGTGTGCTCTACACGGTGCGAAGCAGCCTTGCAGATGGGGGCTGGGGAGCCCTCGCCTGCGAGGACGGGCCGTGGAGGACTGGCCATGGCGGGCTGTGGAAGCCGAGGCGCCCTGGCGCACCTGGCGCTCCCACCACGGGGCGCCCCGGCGACATCGCCGCCACCGCCCGAAGCCAGCGCCCCGCTGTCGCGGGGGAGCCAGGCCCAACCGCGCGGGGCCGCCGCTGCCGCGCCGCGCGCAGCGGTCGGCAGGCGCCGCGCGCCAGAGGGTCACTCGTGCCCGGGGCCACTCCTTGCGCGTGGCCGGCCTCCTCCACTCCTCCGCCGGGAGCGCGTCGCGCGCGTAGAGTTTCAGTTTTGCTCGTGCCCGCCGGCAGCGCTCGGGATACCCAGGCCTCCGACGCCGCGCTCGGCGGCCTCCCGCTTGTGCTCCCCGTGGTCTCGGCCTCCGCCCTGGGGGGAACGGGCTGAGATCTCGAGGGCCCGCGCAGTGGAGCAACGAACGCAGCGTCGGGTGCCCGGGAGCGGGGCCGGGCGAGGAACCTTTTTTACGGGAGGGCCGAGATGGAGGCGAACAGCACGAGGGCGGCCGAAGGCCTGCAGCAGCTCAGCCCCTCTTCGAACGGGAGCAGCCGTGGGTGGCGCTGCGTACGCCGTCCGTTTGTAACGAGGCGCGCGTGCCCGACATCGGCCGTTGCCACTTTTGGGCAACCCGTGCTGTGGGGAAACCGCTCCCATTCTTTCCGTGCCGCCTCGGGTGTGACAGGACGGGGCAGGGCGAGGGACCTTGAGGCCACCTTCTTGGGCAGACCGAACAAGAGCAAAGGCAGAAGCTTAGGCTTCCCGAGGTCCGCTTGAACTTCCTGGGTCGGCGCCAGACCTCCCTTCCCCTGCAGGGCGCCTCCGGCGCCGCTCCTGCCGCGTTCGGCGCGCCCAGGCGATGAGGGGTCCAGCGCCGACCCAAGATGCCAACGCGGACCTCCGCCAGTTTATCGTGCGCCATCTCTGCTCCTCGAACAGGGGGGGGGGGGCAGGGCACGGGACCTTCTGGGTTTTTTTGGGGGTTGCTTCTGGAACGAGCACCCGCGCGGTGCCAGAACGGCGAAGGGCGCGCCGGGAGCATCTCAGTGTTTGTTCGCCTTCGTTTAGCATTTCAGGGCCTCTCCCAGGAGGGGCCCTCGTGACCGACGCAGACACAAGCTGTCGTCTTGGCCACGCGCGGAGGGAAGGCTTCTCAGAAGCACCCCTGCTTCTTAGAAGTCGCGGGCCTTGTCTGTAGATGGAAGGGCCGGCGCCTTCTGAGAAGCGACCACCTTCTAGGAAGCCTTCCCTCCTCCCCCCACCCCCCTTCCTGCTCGCCGCCAACAAATGGGGTCGTCTGCACTGACATTTTCGCACAGGCTGCCCGCGCAGCGCCGCGCGTGAGCGCCGCCATGTCCGGCGTGGGGCGCCGCGCTGGCGGCCCGCGCGTGAGCCACCGCGTGAGGCCTGAGGCCGCGGTACCATCTCGCGAGCGGCCCGCTTCCTCTCGTCGCTGCTCGCGTGGCCACAGCTGGGCGCGGCCTGAAAGCCTGGCCGGGACGGGGCAGACTCAAGGGAGGAACAACCGCCCAGACTGGACGACTGGCGTATACTGAACGGCCCTGGGCGTTTACCAAACTGCCCTGCCCTGCTCGATTCCTTCTCTGGGCGCGTTTACGAAACGATTTCGCATGTCGGGGTGGTTGTTCTGGGTGTGTGTGTGTGTGTGTGTGTGTGTGTGGATTTTTTGACTTCCACGGGCCGTCGGGGCGGGCGTGCCCGGCGACGGGGGGGCCCGCTCTGAGCGGATCCTGGCCCCGGGGGGCGCCGGGGCGAGGCTCGCGGGCCTCCTCGAAGAAGAAGAAGCCTTCGCGGGCCCTCCCGGAGCCTCGCGTGGCTTCCTCGAGGAAGCCATGCGCAGGAGGCCTCCTGGGGAGAGCCTGCGCAGGGCGCCCGCTCGGGGAGCCCTCCCGGGGAGCTCGCAGGGGCCCTCCCTGCCTTGTGAGGAGCGTGCGCAGGAGCCTCGGTGAGAGCTGCGCGCGCTGCCGAGCCCAGGGGCTCTGCGCGCTGATCGGGCACTGCCAGGGGTGCTCCTGGCCCGAGGTGGCCTCGCCAAGAGGTGCTCGATCGGGGTTCCACTCCTGGAGCCAGGGGGCAGAGGTGGCCAATTGATGATCCTCAGGACGCGTGTTAGCCAGAGGAGTGCTCACCCTATTCAGCTCGATGGATGATCCGCAGCAGTGTCTGCCCTCATTCCGCCGCCTGCGTCGTGCCGAAGGGCCTGGGCAGCAGGCGAGCACACGGCGGTGCGGGCACGCGTCCCGGCGGAGTGCCTCCCGGCCACGGCCGCAGGTCTTCTTCAGGAGGGAAGACAACACACACAGACACCAATAATCGTTGACTCCCAGGAACACATGGGAAAGTATGGGAAGTGGGGGGGAAGACAAACACCAAGAACATATAGGAAATATGGGGGATCCTGTTCTTCCCTACCTAGGCTCTGCCTAGAAGGGTTCTTACTCTCTTTCTTAAAGGGGCCGGGCAGTGCACACCGCCCCGGGCGGTTCCCCCAGTATCCGCCCCGCGGTTCCCCCAGTTGCGCCCCCTTAGCTTAGCTTTGCTTATCTCATCTTAGCTTAGCCTAGCTTAACTTAGCTTAGCTTAGCTTAGCTTAGTTTAGCCTAGCCTAGCCTAGCTTAGCTTAGCTTAGCCTAGCCTCGCCTTGTCTAGCTTAGCTTAGCTTAGCTTAGCTTAGCTTAGCGCAGCGCAGCATTCGCATATCATAGCATAGCATAGCATCGCATAGCATAGCATAGCGCAGCATAGCTTAACGCAGCATAGCATAGCATAGCATAGCATAGCATAGCATAGCATAGCATAGCGCAGCATAGCATAGTATAGCATAGCATAGCATAGCTTAGCATAGCATAGCACAGCGCAGCAAGTTTCGTAGGAACGTTCAGTGTAGCAAGTGGTGCACAACCTTGGCCAATGCCAAGTCGTGCAGTGTAGGCCGGATCCGGAGCATTCTCAAGCACACCCGATTAGCGAATGCAAAAACATGCGTGTGTCTGTGTGTGTGTGCGAAGGCAAAGCAAAAGCAAAACCAAGCAAAAGCAAACACAAAAGCAAAACAAAAGCAACAGCAACAGCAAAAACAAAAGCAAAGGCAAAGGCAAAAGCAAAGGCAAGAGCAATAGCAAAGGCAATGCAAAGCAGAAGCAGAACCAATGCGAAAGTGTAGATGTAGATGGAGATGTAGGTGTAGGTGTAGATGTGGATGTAGGTGTAGATGTAGATGTAGATGTACATGTAGATGTACATGTAGGTGTATATGTAGATGTAGATGTGAGTGTAGTTGTAGATGTAAATGTAGATGCATGTGTACAGGTAGATGTAGCTGTAGGTGTAGATGTGGATGTAGGTCTATATGTAGATGTAGGTATTAAGATGTACAACGACTACTACTACTACTACTACTACTACTACGACTCCTCCTCCTCCTCCTCCTACTACAACTACTGCTACTACTACTACTACTACTGCTGCTACTAAAACTACTACTACTACTACTATTACTACTACTACTACTACTACTACTACTACTACTACTACTACTACTACTATAACCACTACTATAACCACTACTATAACCACTACTATAACCACTACTACTACTACTACTACTACTGCTACTACTACTACTACTACTACAACTACAACTACTACTACTACTACTACTACTACTACTACTACTACTACTACTACTACTACTACTACTACTACTACTACTACTACTACTACTACTACTACTACTACTACTACTACTACTACTACTACTACTACTACTACTACTACTACTACTACTACTACTACTACTACTACTCGACTACACTACTACTACTACTACTACTACTACTACTACTACTACTACTACTACTACTACTACTACTACTACTACTACTACTACTACTACTACTACTACTACTACTACTACTACTACTACTACTACTACTACTACTAACTACTACTACTACTACTACTACTACTACTACTACTACTACTACTACTACTACTACTACTACTACTACTACTACTACTACTACTACTACTACTACTACTACTACTACTACCGTTACTGCTACAACTGGAGGGCGGCGTTTACCGTTACTACTAATTTTGCTCTCTTCGGGGCTCCAACTCCTAGGTAGGGTCGCTCTGGGATAATTAGTGTCTATTTATTTGTGTGTCCCAGGGCCCCTTCATTTCTAGGGAGGCTCCCAGTGGACCTCAGACGGCCCCCTATCAGGCTCAGACATGGCTCTGGGGGGTGGAGGGGGGGCCAGTCGGGAGCCTTGAAACGGGGGTCAGTGCAAAACGGGGTCAGCCAGAGCGCCCGATCTTGCAGGATCCTGCAGGGCCAGGGTCGCCTTGACCCGGGTTTGGGTACAGGATCCTGCAGGATCCTTCGCGTTGACCCGGGTCTGGGTGCAGGATCTTGCAGGATCTTGCGGGATCTTGTAAGGCCTGATTGGCCCGGGTTTGGATTGACCCGGGTCAGGAGATCCCCGAGCCAGAGTGGACGGAAAGGCGGGGTGCACCTCGGGCCGCGGGTGGCTCGGTCAGCACCTAGGCTGAGCTGCGCGGCGTCTGCCCTTTGAAGTTTGCCGTTTGAAAGCAATGCGACCCGCCGCAGTCTCCAGCGATTTTTTTGTAAGATCTGCGCCAAGCCTCCCTCGTCGTCCTCGCCGTTCCCTTCGTTCTCCTGCTTCTCGTTCTCGTCGTAAGCGTCGTCGTCATCCCTCTCCTCCCTGTTCTCTCCATCACCCCATCTTCCCTCCTCCTTTCCTGCTTCCCCCTCCCCCCCTCCTAGGCATTCGTGCGCAGATCAATGTCCAGGCCTCACGCCAGGCTTCAAGGAAAACAGGGAGAGGAAGCCCAGCTGGATAAAGATGCTGCTGACGATGATGATGCTGCTGCTGCGATGACGGTGTTGATACTGACGACGATGATGCTGATGATGATGCTGATGATGATGAGGATTGTGATGCTTATGATGATTATGCTGATGATGCTGATGCTGATGCTGATGCTGAGGATGATGATGATGATGATGATGCTGTTGCTGTTGCTGTTGCTGATACTGCTTAAGATGCTGGTGATGATGACGATGCTGATGATGACGATGATCAAGATGATGCTGTTGATGATGACGGTGACGACGCTGACGATGTTGATGACGACGATGACGACGTTGATGATGATGCTGTTGTTGTTCTTGATGATGATGATGATGATGATGATGATGATGATGATGATGATGAGTATGAGTATGCTGATGATGCAGATGCTGATCATGATGCTGATGCAGATGATGGTGGTGATGATGATGACGATGCTGACGCTGTTGTTGATGATGATGCTGATGGTGATGCTGATGATGATGGTGATGATGATGATGCTGCTGCTGATGATGATGATGCTGCTGATGCTGACGACGCTTCCGATTATGCTGATGATGTTGCTGATGCTGCTACGGGTGATGTTCAGGTTTGTGGTGATTAGGAACTTGATGATGATAACGATGACGATGCTGATGATGATGCTGATGCCTATTCTGTTTGTGATGATGATGGTGATGCTGATGATGCTGATGATGCTGATGCTGATGATCTTGATGATGCTGATGATGGTGATGCTGATGCTGATGTTTAGGGCGATTCGGATGATGCTGATGCTGTTGATGCTGATGCGGATGCTGTTGATGATGATGATGATGCGGATGCTGATGCTGATGCTGTTGCTGATGCTGCTGCTGATGATGCTGATGACGATGCTGATGATGGTGCTGCTGATGATGATGGTGATGCTGATGCAGATGCTGAAGCTGAAGCTGATGATGATGATGATGAGGATGCTGCTGATGATGATGATGATGCTGATGAGGATGATGATGTTTATGAGGATGACGCTGATGATGCTGATGATGATGCTGCTGATGATGAGGAGGACAATGATGATGAGGAGGGTGAGCATGACGATGCTGCTGATGATGGTGATGACGGTGATGATGATGATGATGCTGCTGATGATGATGCTGATGCTGATGATGATGCTGATGATGCTGCTGCTGGTGATGATGTGGAGGGGGGGATGAGAAGGAGGATGAGGAGGAGGAGGAGGAGGACGGTGTGACCAATGACCACTTTTGCGCTGCAGCATCAGCGCTTGCACACACAAGTGGGAGGGGGGCGTGGGACACATCACACATACATACATATTCATACATATAGATATGTATGTATATATACGTATATCTATGCATATGTGTATGTATATATGTATATCTATACATATGCATCTCTGTATGTTTATAACTATATGTATATTTCCGTAAGGGCTTCGTCCCCTGCCGCCAGCCCCGTCTCTATCATAATGGGGTACGCCAGGGTCGCGTCGGTGCGTCTCGGCGTTGCCTTGGCGCATCTGGGAACATCATGCGGGGGCGGATAGGAATCATCAGCGCATATTGTGACGCTGGCGTTATCGAAGACGCCTACGGCGAATCACCTCCGCCCCCTGCATTTTGGACACGCCAATTTGGCCGAGCGTTGTGGCAAGAGCTCTGCCGAGCGTTGTGGCAAGAGCGTTGTTCCCCAGCCCCCAGCCCGTGTAGAAACCCTTCGGGGAGGATGGCGGGGACGATCAGGAGGAGGAGGAGGAGGAGGAGGAGGAGGAGGAGGAGGAGGAGGAGGAGGAGGAGGAGAGGCCTCTCTGGGCCGACTTGGCGCCTTCTTGGGGTTGCTCCAGGGCAGTCTTGGAGGCCATCTTGGGGGTCTTGGAGGCCTCTTGGGGCGTCTTGGGGCCCTCTTGGGGCCGTCTTCGCGGCCTCTTGGGCCGTTCTTGGACCAGTTTGGAAGGCTTCACGGGCGATCTTGGGGCGATCTTTGGGGGCTCTTGGGCCGCCTCGGGCCGTCGGAGGATCGAAAAGAAGCAAATGCCCAGACCCTTCAAAATCTTAGGGCAAATCAATGATTTTGGCTTCTTCGAGCCTTCTGGAAGTCCTCTTGGGTGCCTCTGGGGCCGTCATGGGAACCTCTTGGGGGCACCTTGGGCCGTCTTGGGCCATCTTGGAGGCATCTTGGGCCATCTTGATGGCCTCCTGGCCCGTCTGACGCCGTCGGTAGCCGTCTTGAGGGCCTCTCTGGGCCGACTTGGGGCCCTCTTGGGGTGCTCCAGGGCCGTCTTGGAGGCCATCTTGGGCGTCTTGGAGGCCTCTTGGGGCCATCTTGGGGGCCTCATGGGCCGTTCTGGGAGGCCTCTTGGGCGCTCTTGGGGGCCTCTTGGAGGCCTCCTGCGCCGTCTTGGAGGCCTCCTAGGGGACCTCTTAGACCGTCTTGGGCCATCTTGAGACTATCCGAGGCCGTCTTGGATGCATCATGGGCCGTCTTGGAGGCATCTTGGGACCATCTTAGCTGTCTTGGAGGCCATGTTGGCCGTCTTGCAAGCATCTGGGAGGCCGACTTCGGCCAACTTGACGATCTTCAAAGTCATCGTGAGCCGTCTTGGGAGATTTTTTCGGACATTGTGGTCCCTTGTGCGGCCTTTTGAGAGGCCGGCGGGGCGGGCCGAAGCCACAAGGAGAGTTCTTTTGGAACAGAACCAAAGCCAAACCGTCTAGGGTCCAGCACGCCCGGCACCCCTGTGGCAAGCCCACAGGGGGCGGCGGATCCTAGTGGCCTTGGGACCGTGCCTGGGTTGTGGGTCTGAGGCCTCTTGTACACGTGCTGGGCGGTCGTGGGGAGCCTCTCGGGGGCCACTTGGAGGCGGTTTGGGCGCCTCTTGGGGGCGTCTTGGGGCCTCGTGGGGTATCTTTTGGGCCTCCTGTAGGCGCGTCTTCGGCGCCTCTTGGGGCCTGTTGGCGGCCTCTTGGGACCCCCTGGGGGCTTCTCGGGGCACAGATATAAAATGTTCGGTTCGTGATCCCCTGCTTGGGCCTTTCTTAGGGCCGTCTTGGGGCCCTCTTGGGCCGTCTTCAGCGCTTCTTGGGCCATCTTGGAGCCCTCTTGGGCCGTCTTGGGGCCCTCTTGGAGGCACCTTGGGCTGTCTTGGGGCAGTCTTGGGAGCTTCTTGAGCCGTATTGGAGCGTCGGAAAACCGAAACTGCGAGAATGCCAAAATCCTTCAAAAACCTTCGTCAACTCAACGACTTTGGCCTCTTGGGGCTCTCGGGAAGCCTCTTGGAGCGCTCTTGGGGCCTCTTTGGGCCCTTTTGGGCCGTCTTGGAACCATCTTCGGACGCCTTGGATCACTCTTGGCCTCGGCATTTCGAATATTGCATAATTTGCGAAGATGTATGAGGGTTTATGCCTCAAGGACGCAAGAGTTATTTCAATGAGCGAAGGTTCGTGGCCTCGGGGACGCGAACGTTGCGTAATTTACGAGGGAGTATGGCCTCGGGGGCGCGAATCTCGTGTATTTCCACGTGGGCCACGCCCCCAGGGAATTCAGAGCACGCGATCCGAGGGTGGTAACCGGGCGGTTTGGGGGCTCCTCCCCTCTCTCGCGGACTTTACTACAGAAAGCAGACAGTAGGACTGTAACATTGGAGACTTGAATCTGCAACTGGTGCAGGGAGTAGCAACTTCGTCCCACAGCCTGGTCGCACATCAAGGGGGCCGGCGGATATATATATATATATATATACATATATATATATATATATATATATGTACACACATATAGATGTATGTTTGTAGATGTATACACATACATCTATGGGAGGGAATGACGGATGTAGAGAGATTGGGGAGGACGAGGAGGAGGAGGCGGAGGATGAGGAGTAGTTCGAGAAGCTCGAGCGTGGCATCCTGAAACCATGCTGCATGCGAAAACAGCACACGGCGACGAATGCGAGAGAGAGAGAGAGAGAGACAGAGAGAGAGAGAGAGAAAGAAAGAAAGACCGATATATATATATAGAGAGAGAGAGAGAGAGAGCGATAGCGAGGATATTGTTGGGTGGAAATGAAGGGGTATGATGCGATGAGGAAGGGAGGGATGATGATGGTTCTGGCGATTCGGATGATGCTGATGTCGATGATGATGATGGTGGTGATAATGCTGATGACGATTTCGACGACGCTGACGATACTGATGATACTGAAGATGATGCTGATGATGTTGATGCTGGTGATGTTGATTATGTGGGTGGGGCGACAGCGATGCTGATGGTGACAATGATGATGATGATGATGATGATGATGATGATGATGATGATTGATGATGGTAATGATGATGATGACGATGATGATGATGATTGATGATGATGATGATGATGATGATGATGATGATGATGATGATGATGATGGTGACGTTGATACTGGTCGTGGCACTGGTGATACATAGTTATGGTACTGGTGGTGGCGATGGGGGCCATGGTTGCGACTGTGTGTGTGTGCGTGTGCGTGTGTGTGTGTGTGTGTGAGAGTGCGGGTGTGAGTGTGATGTGGATGTGGGGGTGATGATGGGGATGACCATCGGTCAGTTGATGATGAGGGTGATGCTGACGACGATGATGATGACGATGGTGACTGTGATGATGATGCTGATGATGATGATGATGATGATGATGATGATGATGATGATGATGATGATGAAGCTGATGGTGATAAGGATGCGGATTACGATGAAGATGATACTGGTGGTGATGACGGTGATGTTGATGTTGATGTAACTGTTGATGTGGGCGATGATGATGCTGATGACGATGATGCTGGTGATGACGATGCCGACGCTGATGACGATGATACTGTTGATGCTGAGTATGATGCTGACGATGATGCTGACGATGCTGATGCTGATGATGATGGTGATGCTGGAGATGCTGCTGATGATGATGATGATGACCATGATGATACTGCTGCTGATGATTATGCTGATGCTGATG